GGAAAGGGCAAACAGCCAGCCTGGTCAACAATTCCAGAACCAGTCCGAGATCAAGATGAAGAGGAATCCGTTTCGATGCCGAGTGTGCGGGCAAGCATACGCCTCTTCCTATAACAGACGACGGCATGAAATGGCAGCGCACGAGGAGCGGAGCTTCCCTTGCCGCCAGTGTTCGCAGGCGTACAAGCGTGCCGACTACCTAGCCCGACACGTCCGGTCCCAGCACGGTGGCGCCGCCGGTGGAGAGGCTGAAGGAGCAGCGGGTGGTGTCCCAGTCAGACGGGTGGTCACTGTAGAAGAGGAGGAATTCACCACGGTTACACGTGAGACGCTGGAGGAACCATCGGGCCTGCGCACGTACAGGGAGACCGAATCAGTCGGCCTCAGAGAGCCAGGAGATATTTGGTGGCGAACCTGGAACAGAGACGGTCTAAACGGCGAATAGGCCAGATAAACAAGTGACCATGCAGTGGGTAGACCTCGCTGGCTGTTGTGTTCTTGTTTGATTTGTGAACCAACTTGGGACCTAAATCAACGCTAACCAGCATTCTCGTGGACACCCAGGTGGGCCTAAGCCTTTTGAAAATGAGTGAACATTAACATTGTTGTTTTGTGATGATTGTTTGACTCAATTTCTGTGTTTCTTCTAATTGTGTATATAATTCTTCTTTTAATCAAGACAGTCGTTTTTCTAAATTGAGTGAAATCTTAGAAATGTGCCCTATTCCGGAGAATAGGCTTTTTCGTAGGAGGGGGTAGTGTAACGGACAATTGTATAGCCTTTTTCATATTTTATTGCCACGTTAATCTTTCGTACGCCGCCGGCGGCGCTGAGGGCCGCCGGCGGAGGACCTCTGGGGGAGTGCCCTGACCTGTTTCTCTTGTGCTGGGTCCGCACCGGAAATTGGGTTCTATTTTGAGGCGTTGTGGTTTGGCGGGCGCGGGAGGGAAATGGGAAAAGTGCCAGGGCGGCCTTAGAAAATGTTATACATTGTGATACGCTGTGTTTTCGTAGAGCTCAAGTGTCACGTAAGCAGTTGTTGTTGTTCTGACGGCCGTTTTGGAGGGTCGTGCACCGAGTTTGGTGGATGAAGACAAATAAATTCTTTGTTGGAAGTCCTGTATCTGTCCCCCTCCTTTACGTTACCGGGTTTTGAGGGACAAGATCACCCAGGTGTACGCTACATTATTATTATATATTTCTGGTAATGACATCAAGGATTCCTCAAAAGCGCCCAAGGCACTGTAGCTCGCAAGTCTGAAGAAACCTGTAGAGGGGAGACAATGAGAAGCAGTTACAGTTTTAGAGGTGGGAGGAAAACCCAAAAGGAATGTGACGCCGCGCCCCTCCGACGAAGGCGAGGGCGCCCTCCTCCTCGAGGCGTGGCGCGTCGGACGGCACGCCGGAGAGTCCCTGAGCGGCTAGGGACGAGTCCGTTGGGACCGAAGTATACCGTCCCCCAAGAAAGTTGGTCTTCGTCGAGATGATGGCTAATCTGATTGGTCGAAACTTAATGACGTAGCCTGGACAGACCTGACTTGAATTAAACTTCGCCTGGACACCTGACTTATATACAACAATTAACAGGCGGCTGGTTTATTCATCAACTTACTCAACCAGTAGAGGGCAGAGGGCGCTATTGACGGGAGACTGTGTGATTATATACGTGACCGGACTTCGCCAAGAGCAGCGAACACCACATTTAATTGTGAGCATCCAGTGCCGAATCGGGGACTTTATCAAGTCTACGGGGCTTATTGTCAGGGCTGCGATACACGCAACTCACGTCACGAGATAGCAATCCGCCCTTGCATCGACCGCAAGCTCCTATCAGGAACTATACCGCACCACCAATTAGCCCCTCAACCTAACGAGGCCCCTCAACGACACACGCACCACTCGGGACTTAGGCACGGTCACTAGGTTAGGTGACTTTAACCCTTCGGAACAAGATTCTCGATCTTTACTTCAGGATCAGCCCTTGATCAGGATAACTAAAAAAAATTCAACTTTGCATGCGCGCGGTTTTTATAGCCTTCGCACTGCTGTGACCACGCCCGCACTCACGTGACCAAGCAGTGACTTCCGCTGCCCTATCGCACAACGCACAAGGCGGAGCCTATCTGCCGCACTCGCTTAACACACAGCTATGCGCGCCTAGCCTAGCGCCTAACGTCGATATATCTGCCTCTGCTACTGGGTAGCTACGTAGAGCGCCATCTATAACTTCGGACCGCGCCTAGCGCCCTCTGTCAGTCACGGCACAGAATATTCTGGGGTAAAACCCACGGAATCAGGTAGGGACTGAAAACCCAATCCACATGTGGATCGGGCCGGGATTCGAACCCGGGCCGCAGAGGTGGAAGGCGAGGAAAGAACCACTACGCCAACCTGACTCACCACAGTTAATATGTCATGTAATCGTCTGATGAGCCAAAGGGATGCAGGCCCATCGACAAGTGTTTGATGTGAGCGCCGCGATTACTTTTACTAGCGCGCCGCCTTGCGGCGCATATGAATGCCCCAGAGCGCAGCCTGCAATGCGCGCCGTGTCCGAAGTTCATGGTACACACAGCTAGCCGGCCGGGCGTACCGTATACCGTACCGTATACCGTACGTTCGTGCGCGCACACAGTCGAATTGTGCACATTGACACCGTACCATTGAACTAGCCGATGGTTTCTTGCCTGCTAATTCTGAATTATGTGCAGTTTTCAACTGAAGCTCAGCCTAACTTTCTAAGCAAGCGTCTAGATCGAGATGAGGAATTCTGCACACCTTTACCTGCAGGGTAACTGAACTCAGAAGTCCGTTTGTTGCAGGATTGCCGATTGGTGTTTCCGCGTACACATGATACAGCTCACTGTACGTGCATCATACGTGCATGACATATACAGTACATGATGTAGGCTAGATGATGTGACAGGCGCCTTTTTTTTTACACAAACGTGAGATTTTGCTTCACAGCTACTTGTGTAGGCCTGTCTACTCCTCAGTGATGTTTGGCTTTTTACTTTTTTGTTTATTTTTATTTTATTTTATGTTTTGCATGTAACTTTTTGGTAAAAACATGAAACCTACTGCATGTGATGTAGGCCTAGATACTCTTTACCCAATACATCTTTCATATCCTTAATAAGCCATTTGCGAGTTAAATCTGAATAAAGTCTGGTGCCCTGAGTTATCTGAATGCACATAAACATGACAGTTTGAATTCCCCAGACTAAAGACACCGTTGCTATACCTCGTGATTCGAAGCAAGCTTTCGCATAGCGACCACCATCTCTGGAATGGACTGGTTCCTTTGTGCTCTTCTTAACCATTTAGAACAGTGTATAGTTGCAAGGTGTCTCTTATGTAACTAAGCAAAAGCTTGCCCCGAATCACGAGGTATAGCAACAGTGGTTTTAGTAAGGAGAATTCAAGTTGTTATGTTCACGTGAATTTAAAGAACTCAGAGTACCAGATTTGGGTCAAAGTTAACTCGCAAAAGGCTTATTAGAATCTCCACTCACCCGGAATGAATAATATGAAACCATGTGAAGTTCATATTGCTGGATAGTTTTTGAGTGTCTCAATTTATTAAATGAATTTAAGGCCAACAAGATTTCACCCTACTTTTCAACCCTTTTGAATATCCCCCAGGTACTTAACCCCATTCCTCACCCCTACCAAAATTAACACAGTGAGGCGTTCATTTTTAAAACTTCTTGGGATTTGTGAGACATGAGACTTGGCAAACCTTGTGATTGCCCGCAATGCAATTCTTTCCAAAACCCACTCCAAATAATCTAGGGTGTATGTATGTTTCATTTTGACGTGTATTTTTCTTCCCATGAAAGTGCATTTTTGAGACAAAATTCATCCACCTATTGTCTTGCGCACAACAGTAAAACAATTGTTACCATGTGCGAGCACCATAGTGTTATTGCTCTATAACATACGTACTATGTCAATATGTTATATTGTTCCTGAATGTTGATATCTTGCCATGAATCAGCTGACTAGCCTTTAGCCCTTGCTAAATTTCATGTTTGTTATGGTGCTTTGCTTAGGTTTAGTACCAAACCTGTCCATCAAACTTAGGCAAACTGAGGTCCTTTTTTTGATGCAAAGAAATAGACTTCATAGGCCTAACATACAAAATATAAATTTGCCATCCCATGGTGTCAACCCATGGTGATGAAAGTCTTTACATATCACCAAATATGGTCATAACTTTTTTTCCAATGGGCCAACTTGGTAAAGATTCCATGTAATCCTCACCCCAGGCATACACCACAAGCCTGTAGACTCCCATTGGCCAGACCCCAACCACTGCAGAGTAAGGAGTATTGAAAGATCAGTAACCCCTAGGGGCCCATCTGGTTGCTATCAGTAACTGGAGCTCATTATTTACAGACATGTGCTGATAGGTCACATCTGTTTGGGGTGTGACTGGTATTACTGTACTTTCACAGCAGCATAATGAAAAACAGACAGAGAGGAGACCTTAGGGATGTATCAAATTAAAAAGTATGTCTGAGTGTGTGGAATTTTCAATTCTCAGCCTGAGCAGTTAAATCATACATTTTGTTTACTTGATCTGATCTACATGTACTTTAGTCTGTTCTTTTTGACCTTCGTGGTGATAAATTTTTCAGGATTTTCTAACTTGTCACGTGTGAATCAAATGTACACTGTGCATATTGTGTGTTTCAGTGTCTCAGTTTCATCCGGTGCATGAGAAACCCAGCATCAAGTCATTTAATTCCATCATTTATAATCTATTGCTTGGTTTAATGTAACACCATATTGATATGTACGTCACTTGGACATCTGGTAATGGTATATAATGCCAGGTTTTATATCTCAGTATTATGTATTTAATTTGAGCAATAATGGAGAAATACCGGGTCAGAATTGCAGAATATGCAGTGATGGATCCAAGCAACATTCACAAATGAAAGGAAATGAAATCTGAACATGTGCAGGTGGGGTGAAAGTTTCTTTCTTAATTTAAAAATAAATAAAAATAATATAAAATATAATATAAAAAAACCAAGATGGAGGTAGACCCCCCCAAAAGGAACTAGTTGGTGGGCATACCAGGTGTCATGGTGCCCACTATGGAATGTGGATCCGCTGTAGATGCGTAAAGTGTTCCGCATAATGTGTGTACACATTTCCTCCAAATTTTTTTTCTTCCATTTTTATAAGTTGTACAGACAAATTTAAACCCACTTAAGTTTTGAAAATGGATTTCTTTCTTTGTTTCTTTATTTCCTTTTTTGTTCAATCTGAGGGGGTTAGGTATGGGGAAGATAAGGAGAAGAATCCTGCATCTTGGATAATTTTGCAATCACGAGTAGGCCGAAAGTTGATGCACATGTGCAGACCCCCATAACACAGGCCAGATAAAGCTTAAATAGAATAATTCTGCAGAAGAAAGAAATAATGAATTTTAATCATTTTTCGATAGGACATTTGAAATCAAATAGCACTATCTTCGAGGCCAGCTTGGTTCCAAAACCTCTTTGGTCAGTGCAGCTCCATCTTCATTGTTCATGACAATTCACAATTAAAACAAAGGAATCTCTTCTTGTTGATGGTACATTGGTGTTATTTTTGTAAAATCATGTTTGGACAATCATTTTATTCAATGCTGTGCCATGCAAGGCTAAACAGTCTGTGTGCAGCAGGTAATGTCCGGTTCTGGCCATGGCATGACAACTCCACTGATTTTTTTTAATTTTCAGAATGACTGATTTTGAGGGGTGTGTCATCAATCCTGTGAGTGCCTGACCTGATTGCGGATATGAGATACACTATGGAGGTGGGTCACTTTACATGTAGCACATGTGTGGGCAGGCTGGTTTGTCCTTGGTGTGTGATGTATTATGGTTAAAACAATCACAGGTTGTTGAGCTCATGGAAATGTATAGGATTTCATGGTGAACTGCGTACTGAAGGATGCTGGTACCATATTAATATGTGTTTCTTGCTCTACCTGTTTGCAGGGTTGTGCTTCAGTAATCTGCTGGTAGTACCTAAATGTGTGGCTCTTATAAAAGGGATTTTTGCTGGTTTGTGCATTGTCTTGCCACTTGTTGAACAGATTTTTTGAGGTGGTCCACACAGTACAGTATATCACGTCCATTGATCATACAGACTACCATTCCAGTTACATGTATGTGGTCAAGTGTGGATGCTTAAAAGATTTTCACCGCAGCTTGCTCTTTGGAAGAAACAAAACACTTTTTTATTTCTTTTTTTCAATAATTGTTTACCAGTATTCAGCCATTTAATAAGCTGTTTTCTTTTCTTCAGATGGATTACAAACAAGGAAGAGCTTGAGTTCTAAGATGGAGAAGCAAGGCTTGGAATTGGACGAGTACCTACCAATCAACAACAACCAGAGAGTTACATCATCCAGCAGACACACTAATGATGCAGCAGGCAGAAAATATACTGAATCAGACAATGATAAAGGTAAGAGAGGGGGTCATTTTCACATCTGGGCATTTTGTACTTTTCATTCTGTAACCTCCTAAGAAATATTTTTAAAATATTTGCATTCTTCACAATTATTTGTCAGCATTTGTGCATTGGTGCTTCTTTAAGAACTTGTACAGAAATTTTGTTTACTGTGTACAAGTGGTAGAGACTCAAACCTGATATCTTGCTCGCCTGCTGTTGATAAACCACCAACGTTTGCAGGGTGAGCAAGTTCTATTCAATCAGATGACTTTGAGTTTTGTGCACTGCATCAACATGCTGGAGAAAGTACTAGTAGTCATAACCACTGATGCTCATGTATTGTAAGCTTGAGACTAATATGTGCAAAATATATAATTTGCTGGCATATGGGTCATTCCATGAAGTTGAGGAATGGCTACTCGGAGCAGGGCTAAGTCAATTTGAATAATTCACTATTCGAATATTTGACCAATTCGATCGAATATCCAAATAATCGGTCTTAAAGACCGGCAGATTGTTGATGATTGAACCATGTATAATAGGTTCTCTCGTCACTAAAGGAGTATCTCCAGCCACGATGTAGCAAGACTTAAGACACGAATACTACTTCTTGCCCTGTTGAAAATTTCTATCCCTTTAAATTTTTTAATGAATAATTTCCTTTTTGAGTTGTAAGGTTTCTGTCACTTTTCATTTGAATCTGCTTGAAACAAGCCTCCTTGGCGTAATTTTTCTCATTTAAACAAAACAAAATTCTCCCTTCCTGTTCATGAATTTTGCATTTGAATATTCAAATTTAGAAAAGAATATTTGAATAGTTGATAATGGATCGGATATTCAGCGCAGCCCTTACTCAGAGTAAAATTTGTAAATGCGTTTTAGTTTTGACTATTCTTCTGGTTCTCGTCAAATGTTTCATTATGAAATTGCCCAGTCTGTAGAAACTGGTTGTAGATGTAACTATTTTTCATAAAGTTTAGCTAAAGCTCAATTTCTTTTTTCTTTTGCATCAGATTCTCCCCAAATAACTAGCTTAGAATACAGCTCATCATTCTTGACCGGAATTCTGGAAATTTAATCGGACATTTTCATAGCCACTCCATGAAATCTGTTAATTTACACCAAATTTCAAAAAGGAAAATAACCAAAGCCTCACATTAAATTCCCTAATAGGGGTTTGTGTTCTTGTCAATTTATTTCTGCTAACATTGAACAATGTTATGCTGAATAATTTCAAAATGCCCTGAAATATTCCAGAACAATTCTTTAGTAGAACAGTCACAATGTTATAAATAATAATTCAGTTAATCTGAGTTACCCCTAAACCTCATCTGAGAAATGTCCAAATGCTACAAAATGCTCATCAACTTTGTGGAATGACTCATAATTTTTAATTTTAGAGTACTGTTGACAGAGTTCATGATTACAAAGGCTTAGATTATTTTGGATTCCATATACTCATATGCATTCTCATTTGGGTCACACAATTTTGCCCGCATTGTGTGCATGTAATACACAGTATGAAAGTCAACAATTTCTTCTTTCTGAATTTTGTCCTTGTCAATTTTTTAAAATTCTTTTTCATTCCATCGTTCCTGGGCTTGTTGAAATTACTCACTATAATACAGTGTCAATATTAAACCATTCAGTAAACTTCCTGATTATTTTATACAGTGATCCCCCCGAATAATCAGTTGGTGAATTAATTGCATAGTGTGTTGGCGTTGTAAAAGGATATCTAAATCATCACACAGCCCCCAAACATTTCTAAATCAGATAAGCTCACTGTTTGTTTTGATATTTAAATTTGTATTGATTTTGACTGATATTCTACAGAGTCAGCTGCGGTACATGAATGTTTTCAAAATACTTCACTGGTAATGCCATATGCAGACTACATACATGTAATTCACACCGAATAGTCCCACTCAATAAAACTGCATTTTAAGTTGGTGGCGACTTTTTAAAAATTCTGTTCGCTGTTGTTGGTTTTTTTTTTGAGTTTCAATGCTGGATTAAGCACATTTTGTGCTGTTTAGTAAGATATCTGTAGACATTTTTTTGGGGGGGGGGAGAGTGGAATGGGGAGACGTTACTGCCTGAACAAATTGTGAGAATAAATGAAACCCTTAACCCTAACCCCCAAGGGTGTACGTAAAATTGTGTGGAAACTGGAGGATTTGGGACTGTTAGGGTTAAGGTTTTGCAGCAATGACATAGAATCTTGTTAAATACATATGTGGTCAATATTTCTGTGCTGTTATTTTGGCTGTGTATGTACATGTAAATAGTTAAGCCGATGGATGATTAAAGTGTAGCACAGGCTTGTGGACCATAAAACATCTACTCCAAAGTCACTGATCTGTAACTCCTGGTACTGGTGCTGGTACATGTACCTGTATACATGTACATGTATATATCACAAGGGTGATCGTGCTGATGTGCATACCTCCACGTACATGCTCATGTATGCATATGTGTTCTCGAAATTCTTACTCATATGTAGCTAAAATCTGACACAGTCTGAACAGGAGTCACAATTCCTCTCCCTCCACTTCAAAGGTTCCATGTGTGTTATTACCCCAGTCATAAAAACAGCTCAGTGGATTTGTGACCGCAGATAATGAATTGATAAACAGGCCCAGGAGGGTATCAGCAGATTTCCCCAATGATGTACCGGTAACAGAAAAATACCCACAATGCAGTGCACGGAGTAGCATCCCTGCGCAACAGAAACGGCCTGATCACAAGCTACTAAAAGAAACACCCACAGGGAAATACTTATGTACCATGTGTACTCAGTTCTGTCCTCAAATTGATTTGGGCTGGTTTGGCTACAAGTTTGAGTCCCCAAATTCTTCCTAGCTGCAAGCAGATCGAGGTCTTAAAACCTTCGCTATGCAAAAATATGTTCTTGACACAGTAGTCCTATCAGTCAAAATCAGTCAAGTGACATATGATATGTCTGTGTACTGTATGTAGAAGGAGAAGTGGAAGGAGATTTTGACTGGTAGTTACAGGAAAAGGAGGGTTTTTTAATATTTATGATTAAGGCACAGTATCAAAGTTGTTTTGTTTCCCCCATTTCTCTTCTCCTTCAAGCCCCTTACCTGGAAAAGAACTCATGAACCTGATTTTTTTCTATTGCTGTGTATGAATACACCAAATGGGAGAAGAAGGCAGTTTCCTCAATTTACTCAACTTGCAAATTTAGCTGTTTACAGTACCACTTGCTTGATGCATATGTACATGTATTCCGTAGTTTAACAAAAACAGTCAAAAGGCAGTCTAATTTCCTTGGGTTTTGACTTCATTCTGTGGAAGTCTTTGTGAGGTATACCAGTATGTCATGTTCTGGATAATACAAGTATGACATGACCGGTCAACTGACAATGCATGTTGTTAATTTCAGCACTTTCTTTCCTATGTGTACTTACAACTCACTGGCATTTGTTGGGTTGCTACAGGTACCTCAATAAAAAATGGTCCTGTCCATGGCATAAAAAGGAACTATAGTGTACATGTATCTCGTTGGTGTGGGAGAGTTTTTCATTTTTTTCTTTCTTCCATTTACATGTACATGCAAGGTCTGTATTAAGATAAATATTCTCAATCAAAACTCTCTTATTACTCATTTTCCCTCCCTTTTTTTTCCTTTTTTCTCTCCAGTTCCACTGGATGACTCTCTTCCATGGACAGCCAATCCAGCACAGCGATGGCGCAGAGCAGCCATGGGGTTTGCATGGGCTTCAGTTTTCAGTCTGCTTATACTTGGCGGTATTAGCTTTGGTAAGTCATGTGTCAACGCGTGCAATAGTTTGCTACCCTTGCATGTGAGGCCAATTAAAAACGGGAGAGAACTAACTTGAGGTAATTCAAAAGTTCAACAAAACACAACAAAAACACCCTGGTTCAATTCCTGGCCTTGGTCCTCATGTGGATTTGGTTTTTTAGTCCCTACCTGATTCTGTGTAGATGTATTTTACCCCAAATGTTTTTCCATTTTCCATCCACAATTTTCTTCAGGCATGCTAGCTCTAGTGCCAGGAGCCCTTTTGAGGAATCCTTGGCATCATTACCATAAATGAATAATGAGGATGATCCTATGGAGTGCGAAGAGACTATATATGTGTCAGTTAATTTTCTGACATACTTGTTAGAAAATAATAGTCACCTGTCCAAAAGATCAACAGTGTAAGATATCAAGCACAATCAAGAAGTTATAGGCACAGAATTTGTATTTATTTCATTGTATTCTATCGTAATAAAAAATGATAAACTGCCAAAAAGTAGTCACCTGTTTCTCTCCCCTCCCAGTTCTTTCTGCAATGACCGCAAGCTCAGCTGCTTTTGGCTTTGGGGTAAGTGCTGCATTTGATGAAAGTTTGTCTGTCCCACATTCCAGTTTATGGTTTACTTCAGATCTACCCAGTCCTTGGAGGAATAGGGTAAAGTAAGATCAAACTTCCCAGCACAGCTTTTTCACCTTCTGTCTGTTCTTTTTTTTTTATCCAAATTCATCTAGTTTGGCTGTGTACTTGACGTGTTCACATCGGTGGTTGTAATATGGAGATTCTTTGGTTCGGTGACAACACTTTACTCAGAGCAGAGGGAACGAATGTGAGTTTGTGCATTTTATATACTTGAGAATTTTGTTATCTGGTTGCTGACAGTCCTTGTAACAAGGATTGAAGATTCTTAGGGTTCACGGTCAGAGTGGAATTTCAGTACAGGTAGGCTTGCTGATTATGTCATTCTCTAGTCAGGGAAGATGGGCACATGTATACAGAACACTCATTATGATAATGCACAGTAATATAAATATTTTTCAATAATGTTTGAATAGCATTATATTTACTTTCAGCACTAAAGAGCTATATTTATTTATTAATTATATTTATTTATCATAATAGTTATTTAGTACTATAGTTATTTTGAATTGTGCTCATAGCAGTGTACGTTTAATTATTATCGTCGTTCTTGCATTTTCATGGTTGCCTGCAACAAGCAATAAAATGAAGGGTGAATAGTCAGGAAATTTAATGCAGGCAGCAGAATATGCATTTGAACAGAACCTTGGTAGAATTTTAATTTATTACAGTTGGGAAACAAACACCATACATAACACAAGAAGTTCTGAGTGGTCAAATTCTGGTGAGGCTCAATTGATATATCTCAGGACGATAGATAATTTTTTAGGGGAAGTAACTGAAGGTTCTGTACAGATAATTTGGATTTTTTGAGAAAAAAGGAAATGCTTGTCAATTGAAGTGAAATTTTTTTTCATCCATTTTGTATCCAGAAGTAGAAATTTGAGTAGTGAATTTTAAACATAATAAAGAAAGCCAGTAAATGAAATAAAAAGTCATGCTGCCTTTTCTCCAGCATACCATATTTTGATGGCCTGACAAAACAGGGTTTCTTCAGAGGGGCTTTTGCAAAATGCGACATTGGCAGTGAAGAAAAAAAAGTGTCTGTTATAAATTGAATGTGTTGCAAAAGGTTCAATGTACTTGTGGCTCATTTATACGGCATGCAACTAGTACCCTTCAAAGTTAATGCAGCCCAATGGACCTCGTTCAGTGCACACTGAATCAGTATAAAAGAAGTAACCAAAATACTGTACCTACACTCCATGTTTTTAGGTACACGTATCATGTACATGTAATAAGAAGCAGGACGTGGGGGGGTTAATGAGCATATTCTGTTCTTTTTGAGCAGAATTTAGGGATTATCCTTTCATTTTTCAATAGGCTTCCTACCGGTAGCTCCATCTAGCTTTAGGATGTGGTATGTTTTGGAGAAGAACAGCTGGAGATAAACTCACCAACCAGCCACCAGTAGGCTGAAAATATGACAGTGTGCAAGAAAGAGAGAGATTTATTGGCATTAATTTCATACATGTCTTTCTGCGACAAATAATAACAGAGCCATGTTTGATATCTTTTGGGGAAGAACAGAGATCCAGCACTGTACGACATTTGTCAAGGTTTGCTACTTTAAAATATATTGTGTATAGTAAGTGATCCTGTTCCAACCTGTACTTTGCAGCATTCAGTATTTCCCGACATCTTTGGTGGAGGGTGAATCATGTAAGTGCAGCAAAGACGGTTTGTAGAAATACCACCTGTAATCTTCTCATATCAGTGTAAACTTAGTGGTTATTTCTGTTTGTCCTGTATGCATTTTTTGGCACTGCAGTTATTTTGTTGCACGTTCCGGCATTTTTTTCAGATTAACAGGTTATTCTGTGATCCTCTACATATGTATCTTCATGAGCAGGGAGAATATAGCAATTTCAACATTATTGAGAAAGAAATGTGTGCGAATGTATGGCATGAATTGTTTGGGTGTACTGTGATTTCATATGTTCAGTATTACATTGTTTATGTACTGAGAGTTTAATCATGTCGTCATGTTCCTTTTTCTTTGTTGTTGTTCAGTATGTGGTTGGACTTTGTTTAACTGCCTGTATAGACTAGCTGTCAAGGTTTTTATAAATACAATGTATAATTGATTGAAATGGTGAAGTGTGTCAACGTCCGTGATTGTTTTGGACCTGTTTTGACAAAATGAACTTAACAGTCGCAAATTGTCCTTTCTAAGGACAGTAATGAAAACCAATTTTGGGGAATTACGTGGTTTGGCATAACTGTGGTATGCCAATCTGAACCAGTTCAATGCCACACTTTAAGAACAGTAATCTAGGATCCTATTTAATTGGTTTGTAAGTTGTCAGGTCCTTGTGTGTGTGCCACTCTCCTCTAAGAGTTGAATTTTATTTTTCTTCTCTACGGCAGTGCCCTGTTGTTTCTTGCCATTTTCTTCCTAGTAGCCAGCCTGTCAATCATTGTGCGAGATCTCATCGAACTTTTTGACAAAATTCACACCAAAAGTGTAAGATTTGAAGCCTCAGTCTTGGTGTTTATATATGGTGGTTGGCATCAGTTGAGTTTCACATTGGTGGTGAAATCATTTTCGTTTCATTTTCAATGGATCTATTGCATTAATTGTTATAAGAAAGTGTTTTTTAATTTCGCTGTTTGGTTTTATTTTTAACGTTCAGGGCCTGAAAAGTTTGGAATTTAATCTGAGGCATACAACAGAAAGTTGGTGGGAATTTCAAAGAGGATATCAGTTAATGTGCTTGGGATTTGATATTTTTAGTGGGTTACCAGAATGCCCTATCCTGCAAACAAGGGTGTCGATCCATTTTGGATTCAAAACCACATGGTGCTCCTTGACATGTGAACTCAGCATCGTGCCGAGATCCTATTTGCCAATCTTTAATCATAATTTTTATGTTCATGAAACTTATAAATATTGAATGTGTCTCCTCAAACCTGATACTTGGTTTGTGAAGGGGGGGGAAGCTGTACTGGTCCAAGGATTTGTACATGTAGTTGGATGAGGCACCAATCAGTGTGGCCCATGTGCCCTTTCAATCTGCTTTGCTTTTGTCCAAATGGTGCACTTCACATGAACATGCAACAATTTTGCCATTTTGGAGGTGTCTGCATGTTTGACTCATCTTTTCACAGTTTCTCTCTTTTTGACATTGAGGTTCTTTTTTTCTGTTTGTTGTTGTTGCTGGGGGAAGGTAATTTCTCTTTTTTGTTTCAGCTGGGTTCTGGTTTGTTTTTGGTTTCTCGTTCTGCTTTTATTTGTTCCTGCTAGAGTTGGTTTCAGAATGCCAAAAGCTCCTTACAAGTACTTCTTGGGAATAACAGTTTAATCTGGATTCTTAATTTTGAAAGAACTGAGATGATGACATTTTCATTGTTTCTGGGAAGTTACATTTAGCATAACATTTTACCTTAGTTTGATTTGGCCCAAATGGTTCCAATCATCATGTAAGGACCCACTAATTAAGCTGTGATTCATATTGGGAAAAGTGATCCTGTTATTTCCAATTTGCAGAATTTGACATTCAAGGGGAAAAGCTGAAATTGGTTCAGGAATTCCAGAATTCCCATCTGAGTAATGTTATTCTTTCAGTCCACACTAGAGCAGTTTTAACTTCAATGATCTGGCTTACTAGTTTTGTATGTGAAGAAGCAAACTACAGTTCTTTTGTCATGCTACCAAACTGGCACCACTCTGTGCATGCCAGATCCTTTACACACAACCTGCCACCATGTTGGGCATGCAACTTCCTCATCCCTGGCAGTAACGCAGCTGACAATGAGTGCTATAGATGAAGAGATACAATATGGCAATCCCCATCGACCCATTACAAATTCATTTTACAGTACGTTCATATAACAGGCCTTCGGTTATTTCCGTCACCAGAAAATTGAGGCCTCAGGGCCAGATGTCAGTCCAGACTTGCCAGAAGTCTCTTAAAAGACTCCATTTATAGAGTATGCCTTTGAAATAAGTGCATGTACAAATATGGCACTCTTTGTGCATTTGCTTTCACTTTGTATTGAATTGGTCCATTTTTTAGCACTGTTACTCTTAACATTACTAAATCACTTTGTTTGGGTTGAAAATGTCTGAAATTTGCACCAGTGGGTTGTGGATTTAGGTCAGACTTGTCCACGAATAGCACCATGCAAAGTTGAGGTATTTTTTTTTCTTCAATCAGAGATGTTTCAGACATATTGCAGAGTTCAAAGTGCACTTTCTAATTGTCACGGTGTTCATGGGTGCATGTGTGGTAGGGATGCTTGTTAGAGACACGGTAAAACTTACAATATTGCACCAGATTCCCATGGCTTTTGAGAAATTCGGCTGCTTGTTACTTGGAGTGAAAATCGACCATTTATCAACCTAAGGATGGAATGTACAATGCAGTGCTCTGATTTCAGGTGAAGATAACTTGTCAAAGACGACTATCAACATGAATGCACATTTCTTCAGGCTTGCGAGCTACAGCACCAAGGGTGCTTTTTAGGAATCCTTGGTGTCATAGTTAGAAAGGAATATCAAGAATAATAATTTTATACAAAGTGCAAATTGCAACACACACGCAAATGACAATAAATGAAATTAAAATGGATACATTTAATTGTGTTTTGTGGATGGTGATGTCTAATTCTTTCCCATGGCAGAGATGATATCAGTTTCCTCAAGCCACTTTTCACTGGTTTGCATGTTTAAAGGGGGGGACGTTAACACTGTTTGAATTTCATTCCAGCTGACCCTCAATGTTAATTCCTTGTCTACAGGCATCATCTCTGTGTGTGTTAGCAGCAATCAGTGGGACTGTGTGTGCCCTACTGGCGATTGGCAAGTTTATTACTGCCAAGAAACTTGAAAGTCAAACAGTTAAGAGTGACGGTGAGTCTGATTGCATGTCTTCTCTCTATTTGAAAGGTGTGCTTGAAGTCATTCCATAGAACATTGTTTTCAAGACATTTAATCAAATTTGTGCTTGCTGGACCTAACTTTCTTTGGTGGGTTTTACATGTACTTTAAAAAATTCATCTGGCTGAATACAAAAATAAGCGCCCAATTATTCGAAGCAAGCAAATTGCTATTTCTACTCAACAATTTCTAGGAATTGCACCTTTTTCAATGTAGTAATATTAACCACTTCCTACCGGGGATTCCGGATCCGGACATGTATGCTTTTATATGCATGGCCGGGGTCTCCAAACTCGGACAAAGGGAACAGGGCCTTGTAACAAAAAACTGTACTCGGAACTGTTACGAT